CCGCCCCGCGCCGGGTCCCTTGTGCCGCGGCTCCCCGCCGCCCGCCCCGGCGCGCACAGCCTGCGTCTGCCCGGACGCCTGCCTTCCACCTGAGCCCTCTCCAGCGGGCGACGCGCTCGGGTAGCCCGTGCCCGCCTCCTCCTTCTCGGTCACCTCTTCCTACCCTGCGTCTCGCTCTCCCTTGGGGCTGCACAGTCCAGGGGCTGCTGGCGTCGGGAAGGAGATGCCCAGGGTCTCCGAGGCGCACCCTCCTGGCCCGCTCAGCCGCACCCAGCTTTAGAAGGCGCTCTGAGCAGCCGCCGACGGGACACCCTCTCGCCTCAGTACTCGCTGAGACCCCCGACCCCAGCCGTTCTCCGAAGGGGCCGAGCCCCCCCCTTGTCGCGTCCCTCATGGCCACGCGCCTGCTGCTAGTTCTCTGCTTCGCTCTGGTCGTGGCTCCCGGCTGGGGGTCCGGCCCTGCTCCCACAAGCATGAGCGAGCCCCCAGAGATGCAGACGGTGCCGCCCACGGAGGATGAGACTCTGCAAAACGAGGCTGACAACCAGGAGAACGTTTTATCTCAGGTAGGATGCCGCGTCCCCTGACCGTCCCGGCTGCCCTGGTGGCAAGAACCAGAATGTGGTCCTTGCTGAAGCGTTTGGGGGCGGCCGTTTTCCCTTCCATTATCTACGGGAAGAATATTTGCTTTCATTTATAAGAACATTTTCTTAAATGGAAGGACGTGGGTCCTCCTCTCAAAATCATGGGGTCTTTCAAGGTTACTGAATCAGGAGAACGGAGAGAAGGAAGGGAAGACTCCACACAACTCTGAGAAGAAAGAAAAAAAAATTTTTTTTTTTTTTTTTTGGTTTAAGGGTTGTGAAAAGTCTCTCGTGTCTGGGTAGCTGTTTGTCAGAACTGGAATGTGAAAACAGGCGTGTATGTTGGACAGGAGGCAGATGGCGCAACCCATGGGGAGATATTTTTATGGCATAGGATGAGACACTCAGGCAGAAGCATGGGGAGAGGACAGAAGAGCAACATGTGTGATAAATGTGAGGTGACCCCAAAACAGAGGGCCCGACCGACAACAGGACCGGTGTACTGCGAGGGTACAATGGGAATGCAGTTCCATGCAGGTCTGGTAGACAGTGGGGCCAAGTTACAGATGACAGTGATGGGCTTCGTAACATGTCTGTTTACAAAGCACTTGTGCTTGTTTTATCTGACTCAGTCCTCAAAACACCCTGATACCCATTCTATCAATAAGGACCGTACTGCTGAAGAGCACTAGCATGGGTAGAGCCAGGCCTTCTGACAATCCTCAGCCCAGATCTCATGACTGGAAAGCACCGTCTCTCTAGACTGTTTATTCCACGCTCTCCAGAGCTGGCATGATGATGTATGGTGGGTGTCACCATAGTCCTTGGGATGAGGGATGTCTGAGCAAGGATCCCTATAGTGCTGCCTGCATCTCCACTAAGCCCTTGGACTGGGTCTTGTGTCCTTCCTGTAGAAAGAGTGATCACCTCCACTTGGGGATTTATTAAACACCAGTCTCCTCACTCTTCCTTTAATAATTATGCTAATATATGCCTTATACCCACCCATAACCTCATACTGACCCCTCAACTGAAAAGACGTAAAAATCCCTCACATTGGGATTCTGGAACACCGTCAACAAAAGCTTTTCTGAAACCTGAGCCTCCTGAAAGGAAGGCATCCACCCCGGGTTCTCAGAGCAGGGTTATGTAGGAATCTAGGCAGAGTTTCAGAAAGTAGACAGCCACGATTTACTATCAGCCCATGCAGACCAGCTGCTTCAGTCACCCTGAACTACACCTCCTTCTTCCTCTGATCCATTCTCTATTTGACAACAGCCCTAAAACAAATGTTAGTATTAGCAGAAACCCAACCTTTGCAAGGAAAACATTACATGCCTTCTTCCCCCCAGCATCCCAAGGAACATTTCTACTCAAGCTCAATGCCTGTCTGCCAGCCTGCCTGCCTGCCAGGATCATTAGTCAAGCCAAGGAAACCCTTCTGCCTGCCTAGGAAGAGAGTCTTGGCTTTGGGGATGTAGGGTCTGTTGGAAAGGAACTCGGGGTGGGAGTGGGGGGGTGATTCCCAGGAAGTACCCAGAATGGGGGCTCCAAAAAGCCTACTGTTGCGTGTTTTCCTCCTGGAGAGGCTGGCAGAGGCACATGCTCAGAAGGAAATGTTTAGTATTGTAGAAGCAGCAAACGCTGCCAGTTTGCTGTCCTGGTTTTGGCCTGGGGTTTGGATTAAGAAGCTGTTCTAGGAGCCACATGAACACTTAGGCTGAGTAAACCTTACTGTCTTCTGGACCCGTCTCTCTCCTCCCTACTCCCTTTTTCCAAAACTAACCCATCCTTCAAGGCTCAGATCAAATAACATTTCCTCCAAGGAGTCTTCCTTTGTCCCCAGTTGGAGGCACTCTTAGCTCCCACTGCACTGTGTCTACACTTGTCACTCTCTACTCCGTATGACTGGTATTTATGTGCCACATGCACTTGAGAGCAGCTGTCCATCTGGTCCATCTCCTTACCTCTCCCAGCACCTCCCACAATCCCTAGAAGGCACTGAATGAATGAATGAATGAAATGAACCAATGAGGAGGGAAGCCAGAAGTCTTCAAACTTGGATAGCAACTTTCTAATCCCTCCATCAACCCCTTCTCCTTTTCCTTTTTTGATCTACACCGGGATTCTTGCTGAAGGCAAGGGCTATTGGAAGAATGATGGGGCTTATTTATTTTTTTTCCTTTAAATGATGAAAGGCTAAGGCTCCCTGAGAAATACACAACTTTCCAAGACAAACGAAGAGAGCTGAACTCTGAGTGCCGTCATGGAAATATCAGACTCAGCAAATTGCATGGCGATGACCTATTCACTCCATGGTTCAGAGTGGTCCGAGGTCTCCAGATAGAGCAGGACATTTGACAAAGTAGATAAAGAGCTTCCTTCAGGAGCCTGACTGGCACTTGTGTTTGATACCTTCCCCAACCCATTTTCTCTGTGTGCTTCTAGTTGCTGGGGGACTATGACAAGGTCAAGGCTGTGTCTGAGGGCTCGGACTGTCAGTGTAAGTGTGTGGTGAGACCCCTGAGCCGAGATGCCTGCCAAAGGATCAACGCAGGGGCCTCCAGGAAAGAAGACTTCTACACCGTGGAGACCATCACCTCAGGCTCATCCTGCAAGTGTGCCTGTGTCGCGCCCCCATCTGCCCTCAATCCCTGTGAGGGAGACTTCAGGCTCCAGAAACTGCGGGAGGCAGACAGCAAGAACTTGAAGGTAGGACCTGGTGTGGGCAATGCCATGGATCAGAGGGCACCATAGGGACCCATGAGTCCAGCAGGGCCATTGCTAGGGATTGTAAGGCCTTTGAAGGAGGTCAGGCCCTGGTTCCCAGAGTCTTGTGTATGGATCCAAGGCTGATGTTCTGACAAACTGGTCATTTCAGCCCTGGTGTCTGAGGGAGATGCTGAGAGCAAAATGTGCCTGCCCCTCCTTGTGGAGCTAGGGAGGCTTAGCCTGGGACCAGCTGCCAGGCCCAGCTGGCCAAAGAACTCGGCATTCTTCTCCAGGAAAATTGCTACCATGATTTACTGTCAGCCCAGCATGCATCCTGAAGAGGCAAAAGAAACACAGAAAGGAGTGAGCCTTTTTGTTCTCAGCACAAGGGCTGGGGTGGCCCAGGGGCCTGCTCTAGGCCAGGTCCTCAAACTGTGATCCTGTGATCATGCTCCATAGGGTGGGGAAGCTCAGGCCCTCCCTGGGCAGCCCCACTGATTGGCTGAGGGTTTTATCTGGTCCCACACTACTGCCTTCACTTGCAGTGTAGGGTGGTGGAATGAGCTTGTTTTGGAGTCAGGTGGACTTGGGTTCAGATCATTGCTGTATAATTCTGCTCAAGTTATTTAACTTGTCTGATCTCAGTCTCTTTGAACATTTACTTCATGAGGTTGTGAGAATCAATGAGATGGCAGCTATGGAGTTCTTGGCACCATGCCTGACATTCAGTTAGGCATGACTATGCAAATGAATGAATGAATGACTATGTCAAGTGCTACTGCTGTGCCTGGCACCTGGTATTCACTTAGTGACTTGTAGTCACTGATATCTCTTTAAGCAGAGTGCTCTTTTACCAGTATAAAGAACATCCCAGGATTTAGCTGCATTACTCAGATCTGCAGCTCTGCCATGAAACTACTTTCTGAACCAAGTGCCACAGCCACCTGGTTATATGATTGGACTCGGGGAATTCTAGAACAACATCAGGCAAAATTTCTATTAGGAATCAGAAAATCCTCATAGTACATACTAACCAGCTACCATTCCATGACCATTAGCCAGGTTCAGCTATCTTCCTCCCGTGGGGAGAAGAAGGCTCTTCTTCTAAACATGCATATTTTGTACATGGAATTCTTCATTTTGAAACAAGGCTGGAAGATGAGTGGGAAGCAGAGATTGCAAAAGTGTGGCCCAGCAAACTCTTATAGGGACTGGCCCTTGGCAGGGAGGTTCCGTTTAAGCATCTCTCATCTGTCCCCTTTGCCTGCAGTCTGTATGCCCTGGATGCCACTAGAGCTTTGGCCACCTTCCTTCCAGTGGCTCTGTGCTGGCAGGAGGGACAGTATTGAAAAAAACTGAGAGGGCTGGATGCCTTATGGCAGCTTGCAATCTCAAAAATGGGCTTTTGGGTCTCCTTTACCACAGGGTCAGTTTAGCTTTTCATGCTAAGGAAAACCTGTTGGTGCCTTCTAGGGCCTTTAGTAGACAATGAACTTGAGTGTTTCAGAAGCATATCCTCAAAGTATTAACATTTATAGCCACTTTGTTGAGTATTTATAGATTACCTGTTATGGGCCAGGTACCATGCTAGATATCTTGGGGTAAGAGATGAAGAAATAGATGCTACTTTGAAGGAGCTCAAAGTCTAGTAGGAAAGATTGATGTGCACGCAATTGACAGATTTCATAAAAGAGTCATAAAAAGTTTGTGAAGGTGTCTAGACCTCAAGTTTACTTGTTCTTGTAGGATTCTCCCATATTCTTACCCAAACATTCTAGAAGGCAGAATACACATACACCATTGTGCTTGTCAGCATCCCCACCTGCCTACACAAACGCGTTTCTGAGGGCCACCTCTCAATTTCTGGCTAGTGGCTTCCCTGTCAAGCTTCCAACATGGAGATCTGAAAGGAAGCTTCTCCCACTGTGGTCTGTATGCCCCAGCCCTGGACTAACCCCTTGCCCTTGTTTCCTAGCTCTCCACAATCATAGACATGTTGGAAGGAGCTTTCTATGGCCTGGATCTCCTGAAGCTACATTCAGTCACCACCAAACTGGTGGGGCGAGTGGATAAACTGGAGGAGGTAAGGGAGACTCTGGTTTCCATATCTTTCTCTTGATCAAATCCAAAAGAATATCCAACTTCCCACAACATTTTTTCATAAAGCATGTGCCCTTACTAGACTTAACCCATTCTGTTCTTTGGAAAGGAAAAAAATATATATAAAACATCCATTCCAAATAAAGCCAAATTCTTGGAGGCAGAGAGAATCAGTGAAGTAGAAATGTTAAATATCTTCTGGGCCGGCCCGGTGGCGCACTGCTACAGTGCGCCGCTTGGGAGCGCTGCGGCGCTCCCACCAAGGGTTCGGATCCCATATACAGACCAGCCGCTCACTGGCTGAGCGAGGTGCGGGTGCAACACCGAGGGTTGCGATCCCGTTGCCGGTCCCGGTCCGGTGCGGGCGCAACACTGAGGGTTGCGATCCGTTGCCGGTCACGAAAAAAGATTAAAAAAAAAAAAAAGATAAATATCTTCTATTTATTCATCTATAAGAACCATATAACCGATGTATTTCTATTTTTACCTTGACTTCCAGGGAACTCAGAGATAAATGAAATGTTAAAGTACAATAAGTATTTTATTTCCAGTTTTAAGGTAGAGTCCTCTGCCTCCTGGGTATTTGGTTGCTATTTTCTTTAATTGTTCTGGTGCATGCCTGTGTGTGTGTATATATATATGAATCCATCTTAAATCTATTTTAGAGAAAGAAGACATAAAAATGATTAGTAATAAATAGTGTTCCCTACTGGACATTCAGGCTGGTTACACCCACGAAGAATAGACCAGTAGTGTAATTGTCATAGACAAAGACATCACATTATTCTGACTGTGTTCCAGAGGGATGTACAGCGGGTGCCATCATTTTCATCTAGTGGCATATGATGTGATCATGGGAGCTAGGAGTTGTTATAGACACAGTAATAATGTTGACATTATTTTGTTGCTGTAGTATTTTAACATATAGATGAGGAATCATTTAATCACCACAAAATAATGGTTATCATTCAGCCTTATTGATGAGAAGCTTGTGAGTATGTTTCATTGACTGGCATTCACTTCTTGGACTGATCCTTGAAATATTGACTCAAAGAGCTGCTGCTTCAAGTAGAAATCCATTTCTTTAAATTTTAGAGTTACTCTTAAGTGGTAAATTTAATCTGAATGCCAGTAAACATATCAATATTTCTTATGAAAAAGTAGGTTTCTGGGGTCTATCATGGATGAGCTGAGTTTCCTTGATGGGTGATTAGTAGATTTAGGATGTGAAAAAAGTAGTTCATGGCAGAAAGAGCGCCAGCCTAGCAGTCAGGAAAGTGAGTTACTCTGGTCTATCATGGATGAGCTGAGTTTCCTTGATGGGTGATTAGTAGATTTAGGATGTGAAAAAGTAGTTCATGGCAGAAAGAGCGCCAGCCTAGCAGTCAGGAAAGTGAGTTACTCCTTGTCTCCTGTTATGAAGCAGCACATCTTATCTGCTCCATCTGTAAAATGGGAATGGTACTCTGTCTACTTTGTATGATTGCTGAGGGTATAGAAGGAGCACTTATCATGAAAATACTTTGAAATGGTTAAATTAAGTGAGGCACTTGGGTTATGAGAAAGGAGAGATTGGGGGCAAACATTCCCACATTGCTTTGCCAGGAGATCTGGGACAAAGATGTAGAAACGTTGTAGTTACAGGGATTGGTTTCGGCACACTCCTTGCACTCCTAAAAATGTTCCCAGAAAGTGAACACCAGTTCCTTCTCCCCCCACCCTCAGGCTTGGCTCATCCAGAGCCCAAGCTTTGTTGGCAGGTAGAGGTGGCCGACAGGACCACATCAGTCCTCTCCTCGCTTTCTGTCCACTCTCCTCCACAGGCTCCCTAAGAGAACTAGGCCACTAGGCATCTTGAGTCTCTCCTTCCCCACCATTGACAACCGGAATGATGAGATTGGGAATGGTCAGCACCATCCTATTATCAACAGATTCCATGCAGGCTTGGGACTCTTTCTCATATTCCAAACCACTTTCTGATTCTTTCAGATGGGTTCAAAAGCAATTAAACCAGGGTCCAATATTGGAAAGTGCCTGTTTCACCAGGCCCCGAACCATTCAAATAATGCAATGCTCCTTTAAGAAAAGGATTGCATTTTTCTAGGAACAGAGGTGACAGCCACCTCTTCTGCTTTCACCTGACCTTGGCAGCCACATGATTTTTATTCTGTCTGGAGAACACAGCCTGGAGAAGATAGCTCCAGGGGAGAGCACAGCGCTTGCTCAGAGGCCAACATTAGGCACTCAGCCTCTGGGAAGGCCGGTCGGCTGGGCTCTGTTCAAAGGCCACAACCTATTTCCAGCCTTGTCTATCAGCTCAACCGTTTCTGCTGGCCAAGGGTAGGAGTGTGGGTGAATTTGATGCAATGCCAATGCCCCAGCAGGATGGTATTTTCTGTGCAGGCACACAATAACTGGGTTTTTGGCAAAAACAATCTTAGTTACATCAATGAGAGTATTCTCTTTTTCAAAACTGTTATATTTAGTAGCAAAAACTGGTCCTTTATAATAAAAATAATTATAATAATAAATAATCTATTACATTTACATAGTATTTTATGGTTTTTAAAGCATTTCATACACATTTGACCCATTTGTTCTTGTGAATTGGGCAGAGTGAGACCCTTGGAAATTAGACGACTTGTCTAAGATCACAGTGTGAGGAAGTGAGGCCTGGGGCTCAGGCCTTCTGGTTCCTGGTCAAGGGCTCTTTCTAATCAACCCCATAAGTTTCTTCGAATCACTGCTGTCTGCCCTGTAAGCATCAGTTTTTCCTAACCAGAACTTAAAACAATAGCTCTTCCAAGGGAATTTCTAGGCAGAACTGTGACTGTATCTCTTAGTCCAATTAAATAAGATTAACCTTGAATTAGGAAAGGTCCCACCCCATAGGAGTTTTCCCAAAATGAGGCAGTGCAAAGCAATAGGGTTCTGTGATATGACAGTAAGAGTGGTCGGATGGGTCCGGGCCCCTAGGCCTGAAGAGTGCAGCACTGTATTTTGGCTTGAGTTCGTCTCCTAGCTCATGCCAGCTGACTGTCTGCAGCCCACAATAATCGAAAAGGCAGAATGTTAGGTAAATGGAAAAAACACTCTCTCCAGCCTGGCTCTGCAGGAGGAATGGAAATGAAATTCTGTTCCTGGTCCTTGGATATTCTTGAATCCCAATGGGAGTTCTTTGGAGGTCAGACAGGACAAAAAGGGTCAGAGCAGAGAGGCATTCTGCCCAGAGTAAGATCGGTGCTTGGCACTATACGCGGGCATACGCATATAGGATATAGCCACAGTTCCACGCTGGGTATACAGGAGGATGTGGGAATGGAAACTCCATTTGCAGATGAAAGAGGAAGGAAAGAGAGAGAAATGAAATCTGAACTATTCAGAGTCTCACCTCCTGGTAAAATCAGCTCTGGGAGCTCTGCTTAGTGGAATGAGTTTGGTTAAGCTTTTGTTTTAAATCGTGAAAAATAATACATGTATAGAAAAGTGCATAGACAATGACTGTACAGCTTAACAAATTATTATAAAGCAAATACCCATGTAACTACCATCAAGCTCAAGAAATAGAGCAGTGTTAACATCCCAAAAGCCCCCCACATGCCCTCTCTCACCCCTTCCCTGAAGGGAAACTACCCTGACTTTTACGTTAATCATCTTCCTTGCTTTTCCTTATAGTTTCATCATCTAAGAATGCATTTACTATATACTAAATAGAGTAGTTTTGCCTGTCTTTGAACTTTAAATATATAGAATCCTATAGAATTGTGTGTGTGTGTGTGTGTGTGTGTGTGTGTGTGTGTGTGTTGGGCTTCTTTCACACAACTTTTAATTTTTAATATTTACCTATGTTGCTTTACTGTCTGTGGTTTATTCATTTTTATTGCTGTGTAGTATTCTATGTATGAATACACCTCAATTTATTTATCTGATGATTGATGCGTAGGTTGTTTCTAGTTTCATAATTCATAATAGCCCCATGAACATCCCTGTGCACACCGTGGTGCATACCTGCATGCATTTCTCTATGGTATATGAGTAGGAATGGAATTAGTGGGTCATTAGTTATACTTACATTCAACTTTAAGAGATATTGCTAAACTGTTTCCCCAAGTGGTAGGACAAGTTTATACTCTTTCCAGCAGGGTATGAAAGTTCCAGACACCTCCTCACCAACACTTGATTTTGTCAGGCTTTTTAATTTTTGACACTTTGGAGGGTATATCTTAGTGGGGTCATTTCACTGTGTTCCAGAAATTTAACTCCACAAACATCTTTCTTATTCATCTGGAAGAGGTCTGAAACCTCCTGCACCAATTTTAGAAGTTGTCCAGGAAAAAGAAACGCTGAAGGTAGTTAAGAGCCCAAGGGCAGACCTCAGCTGGCCCTCTCCTGTGAGTGGCTGGGAAGGGGATGAAAGAAGTGTGGGTGTGTGTTGGAGTTGGGGGTGGTGGGCCAGAGCATAGGTGCCAGGAGAGATGGGCATTAGAAGTCTAGAAGGAAAGCCTGTAGCTTCCAAAGGCAAAGACAAAACCTGTTCATTGCTCATAGATCTGGCTGTGGCACTGATTCAGCTCAAGAAAAGACTATCACCCTGAGCTCTGAGGGCACCCAGAGACCCAAAGTCTTTTAGGCTGCCCAGGCCTGAAAAAGAATTCTGGAGGAAGCAGAACTAGACGCATGGGCTACAACACCAAGTACCACATTCTGCTTCCAAGGGCAGATTTATTACTGAAGTGGAGAAAAAGACAAACAGAGGGGGACAGATCATTAAAATAATCTCTTCTAGCACCAAGTCTTTAGCTGGATTAAGTCATTCCCATAAAAATTGCAAATCTTTGTGAAGAAACGCCCCACCCCCACTTAGCTGCAGGATACCTGTAAATGTTTATAAGTACTTGGATATGCTTATGACTGTGTACACATGTGCCCTTGTGTATGTGTGAGTGCATATCCTGTGCTCTTAAAATAAATGCATGCCTACAA